AAATTTGAAAAAATTAAAAATTTAAAAAGTTAAAAATTTAAAAAATTAAAAATTTAAAAAATTAAAAATTAAAAATAAGAATAAAAATAAAAAAAAAATTTAAAAAAATTAAAAAAATTAAAAAAATTTTTTTTATAGATAATATAGACTGAATATAATGGCAATACAGGCTTGCAGAAGGTAAATAGTTGAAATACAAATAAGATAAAAATCATACGTTACAAATCATATAAATAATAGATAAAAAGAGTTTTAAAAGGTTTCAAAAGTACACTTGTGTATTGTCAATTTTTTTTTTTAATTTGTTTCTAGGTGCCCCAAGAAGTCCTTACGGTCTTGTCACAGACCACCGCGGAAGTGCATTTAACCAAGAAGTTCATGCCTTCTTCCTTATCGTGACGCAAAAATATGTCCAGAGTTTGTTTTGAACCTGGATCTCCTGCTTTTAAAGCAAGCGCTCTAACCACTGCGCCACGGCCGCATTAAATTTCAAAAACTACTTCTTCCAACTTTTTTTTTAAAGATATGTAATTCCATTCAAAAGAAAAATCAAAGTCAATCAAGACAATTTTGTTTTTTTTAAGTGGAGTTATTTTTTTTAAAACCATATTGATTATTAAAAAAAATATTATTTACAGAAAGATGAATGTTGATTTTGTTGTACAAAATTCTCTCTAGAATCTTTGAAAATACAGGAAAAACAGAGGACGATAGTTATTTACATTAGTTGCATCCCCTCCTTTGAATATTAACGTTAATTCGGCAATTTTAAGATGATCAGGGAAAACTCCTTGGCTAACGAAAGACAAAAAAATTTTAAATAGAATATTTTTAATAAAATTGTAAGAATTTATAACAAGGTTTCCGTTGATAACTTCGAATCTTGCTTTATTTGGTTTAATCGTTTTACAAGAAGCATCAAATTCCTTAAAGGATATTTCAATGCAATTAAGATTTGTTGTTGTTTTTTTCGGGGTAAAAATTCATTTAAAGTATTACTAGTATATGAAATATTTTTTGCTAAGTTAAACCCCGCTAAAATAAAATGCTTATTTAATTTAGCTGCAATATTACTTGAAGCATATAAAGTTTTATTATTAACTTCAATACCGTTAGGCAAAGCGCCTGATTTAGTTTTAGATTTACCAGTGGTTTCTCTTAAACTTGCCAAGTGTGTTTTGAGTTTTTTTTGTTTTTAATAAGTAAGTCAAGATAGTATTTTTTTAAATTTTTCTTTGTCTTTCGAATTCTGTAGCAATTTTTTTTTTATCCTTGTAACATTTCACAAGCACTCAAGCAAACAAAAATATGCAAGATATCGCTAAGTGCCACTACTTTTAAATTAATAAGAATTAAATCAAATCGGATAAAATTTCACCGTAACGTATTTAAGCAATTAATAAACTTATTTTTGTTTTAACAAAATAAATCGTTTTGCATTAAAATCGCAATTAATGACTATCATAAAAACTCTAAATAGGAGTTTACTAGGCTGTTTATAAATTCATTCCGATGTTTAATAAAACAGATATTTAATAAAAAAATTTCACTCATAAATTTGATAATTTAATTAAGATAGTCCTAAATTTGTAGAAGCTTTTAAACAAATTAAATTACAACCTTTTTTATTGTACCTGGTATACTCGACGAATAATTACAAAAGATGTTTAAAACGCCTTTTAAAGGAAAGTTATATTGATGCTTTCTCTCTTTGAGAAAATATTGTTATTGACTCAATAACTTTCATAAATCTCATTGAAAATCTTTAAGTAGAATTATACCTATTTTTATTTCAGTAATAGTAAGCAAACTATTATTTCAAATTAGTTTTGCAATTAAATTTTAAAAGAGTCGAATACATTTGCGACTGCCTTCGCTTTGACTTTGAATAAACGAATCCGATACAATTGCGAATGTTTTCGTTTTTATTTTAAGTAAGTGAATCCGACACATTTGCGGCTGCTTTCGTTGTGTGATACTAAAAATTGAAACTACAACAAATACTACAAAAATTGCTTTTGCTCACTAGTGACTAGTAAGCAAAAGCAATTTTTTTCATAATATATCAGTTCACCGATATTTTTTGCTTGCGTACGAGCTAATTTGGGAGGAAATTCTTCCTAATAATAGCACGGTAGCGTAAGTGATGTAACCTAAGGTAAACTTATAGAGTCAAGATAACGCTTGTATATTTCTGACTAGGTCACTTTTAACACAAGTTTATTTATTATTGTATTAATTATTGAATTCAAAACGAAGTTTTAAAATTTTTAAAGTTTCAATACCCAGTGGGCACAGACCTAAAAAAAGACGTCCTTTGAACGTTCAAAAGACGTCCAAAACGTGTATAAGACGTTTAAAAGACGTCTTTTTTACGTCCGTGTCCACTGGGTACGATTAATAATATCAATTTGCAAAAAATACGCATAAAATTTTAAATCCTATTCAATTTACATTACAAATTAACGTAAGTTAAATTAATTAACATTTTTTGGTCTTAGCTTTGCTATTGTTTTGTCAAGGTTTGAACTTTTTTACTTATTTTGTTATTTCTTATTCATTTATATTATTTTTCAGACAGCTTTTATACAAAATTCCTTAAAATATAACTAACAGTTTAAATAAGAGAATACTTAATAAAATTGTTTCGAGTGTAACTTGAAACACATCATGTATATATATATTAAAGAAGGGATATAATATATTGATTTTTTATGTACTTTCAATATCTCTGCAGCCCTTTAATAAACTATTGTGACGCGCATTATTTTATAAATATTGTACACCCGAGACCTATGAACGCAGATATAACAAGATTAGTAGAATGTCACCTATAAAAACAAGCAACTTACCTTTATCTTTAGTTATTAATAAAATCAACACAGTTATTGTTAACCTAAGTAAAGAAGGTTTACGTAAAGATGGAATATTGTGATTATGTCAAAGTGCAACACAAAGATAGAAAATTAGATAAAAATTAAATCCTAATTCTTTGGAGAGACTTAAAAATTTCTACCCTTAATAACTGCTGTTTTTCTAAAAATGTATTAAAAAAGTGAATAACTCAATGTTTGGCTTTGGAGAAGTGAGAAAATTTGAGCTAAAAGAGCGCCAATAAATTTCTTAACAAAAAAGTTTATAACTTTGCTTGTATCCTAAATCTTTATTCTTATGCTCCACGCTATTTATTAATTGTTTTGGGTATAAATTTGTTTTACTCTCTGTGTTAGACAAAACAGAGAGTGGTTTTGAAGTAAGCTATTAAAGATGCACTAATAGTGCCTTAAACGAATTGCGTAAACAAAATGTGTTACTTGTATAATACTATAAATCTTTTACTTAAAATTGATATTTTTACAAAAGACCTATACAATATAGAATATAGAACATACTGAATCACAGGTATTACAGTTACCTGTACCTGGTAAGTAAAAAATAACAATTTATTATTTAATTGTTGTTTTTTTTTACAAACAACTAAGTTTACCCACACTTCTGGAAAAAAGACATCTCAAAATATTTGAATAGTTAAATTTTAATACATTGTTATATAATTTACATATTTATAACTGCACATGATAATATAAGCGACAAGCTACTAATTATGCATGTTTAATTCTTTTGCAAATTTATTTTTTCTAGCTATTTATGCTTAACAAAACTGGCCATGATAAATCTTATAATGAAATTCGTGAGGCTGATAAAGTAGTTGATCTTTCTCGAGCAGTTATTGCAACATCTAGTTTCCAGCTTACTTAAGCTAAATTTATCCCTTAGTTTTTTCATTTTGGCAATGAAATTAAAACTACTTTAAAACACTGGAGGTTTAGAAAATTTTTGTTTACATCGACCTAATAACATTAAAAAATGTCTGTAATGCTGAAAACACTAAGAGTTGTTTTTAATAAAAAAAATATGTTTTTAAAAAACTTGTGTTCCTCATTAATGTTCCAATTAATACAGAAATTTTTAACAAATGCAACCTATAATAAGTTATGTAAGCTGTCGTGTTTAAGAACTGGATAATTTTTTTTTTTTTTTCTTCGCTTTTTTTAGAAATAATTTCATAAGTTTTCACATATATATTTTATTATAAGTTATTATGATTATTCTTTTTTTTGTAATATATACTTTATAATGATTTTAATTAATAAAAGAAAAAATAATAACTCTGTGATGCTAAGCATAAAGTATAAATTTTTAGGTTATTAAGAACTATTTCTTGATTTTAATTTGTTCTACTTTCAGGTTCATTATCATTTTAGGTTCTTTCATCAACCGGAGTACTTGCTAGCTTAGCAGATTATCTGAGTTTAGAAAAAAGAGTATTTTCCATTCAAGTTATTTTTTTTTAATGTGTTAGTTCTTGACTAAAGTTCTTCCGACATTACAAAGACATTGAAGGATAATATTATGTTTTATTACTCTAAAGGCATTGGAATACGAACGGTTCACGAAAATCACGATAGTCTAATGTTTGTGGAGTAGATTGTGGAGATAGTATTCGGTAGTTTTTTTTGTTGTTGTTGTTGTTTTTTGATTTTGCTTTTGTTTTTGTTTTGTTTGTCACTGATCTTAAATTCATAAAATCATTTTTAATCATTATTATTGCTTCATCCTAAACTGTTTTTATCGGTCGTTTAATCAGAAAGTAAATAAAATTGCTAAATCGCGTTTTAAAAGCTTTAAAGTTCAAACAAGTGCAAGTTAGTTGCGAAAAAAAAAATTGTTAAAGCAAATCTAAATAATAAGTAATTAAAATAATAAGTAATTAAAATAGCTCAGATCAAAATAATGTCATCATTAATTTTATGTTAATAAGCAAGTTGTGCGTATGACGTAATTTTTTTGAAATAATATTATATATACTTATCTATATGTATAAAACTTGAGTTAAGTCAAAATTATGTCTCCAATATATAGTAATCCACATTATGAGGTGCAAGAAAAAAATGCGCACAAAAATATTTATTTTAGTTTTTTTAATTAAAAAGAAGACAGGTTTATCTAATTAATAAAAGACCGATTAGACAAATTTAATAAGTTTATTTAATTTTCTGTCTAGAAACTTGAACAAATACCAGCACTATTATTTTTAGAAGTGTATTAGTTTACTGCAGAGGTTGTGATCTGAAACCGTAAAAGTTACCAACTATTTAAATTTAATAACAGATTGCAAACTACGAAGTAAAATTGCAATTTTTTACAGTAAGTTATATACTGCTACTCTAAATATTGGTGTTTAATGTAAACAATGGTTTTTTTAATTTATGGGGCTTGGTGATAAGACCAATTATGTCTTCTTCTTGACCTTGCAATTTGTATTTATATTATGGTTTATGACTTTAATAAATTTAATGGCAAAAAAATGATATGAATAAGGCGGTTTTTTTAATGATAGTTAGATATCTAATTAAAAATCGTAAGTTTTTAATTCGATATCTAACTAGCATTAAAAAGCACTGGTTTTATATCAAGCAGGGAGTATTTTTGTGCTTTAGCAACTTCAATTGTTTTAAATATAAGCATTTAACATAACCATTAGTTTGTCATGGTTTGACCATTATGTTGGATAATACACTTTCATTCTCTAACATTAAAAAATGTTTTTGCATTGTGTTACAGTGCAAACATTGTTTTTAATAAGACCTTTGAATGCGCTCTTCTCTGTTATAACCAACAATCACCTTTTTTTACAATTTTTATAAAAAAAACAGTTATTTTACTAAAAAGCAATTTTTTAATAAGATGTTAAATAAGATATTAAAAAAATTCAATAAGATATATGTATATATTATTTAAACAAAAACAATTTTAAAAAAAAATCTAATACATGCTATTATTGCTTTTTGGTTGTTTTTTTTTAAAATGCTTTTTTCATGTTGATGTATTTTTCATGTTGATTTGAAGGAAGGGTGCATAGGGGTAGGAGGATGGGCGATGTGACGATCCTCTTCTCCCTCTCCCCCTTCCTATTTAGAACTTTTTAAAAATAAGTTTTTAATATTTAACTAGAATTAATTAAAAAAGGTGTTTAAGTTATGTGGTGCAAATTATATTGAACTGTTTGACGTAATTTCATTGTTACATAGTTTATATTTAATACAGATTGAGATAGTATAAAACTAATACTGTTAAATTTTTGCATTATAAATTATAATTTTGAAAAGATTAACAAAAATAAACTAAACGTTGGGCAAAATGACACTTTTGAAAACACCTATGACACTTCTGACACATGTGAAAAGATATAACCCAGTGGACACGGACGTAAAAAAGACGCTTTTTAAACGTCTTATACAAGTTTTGGACGTCTTTTGATTGTTCAAATGAGGTCTTTTTTAGGTCCGGTGCCCACTGAGAAAGTATAAGTACTGGTAACATTTTTATAATTAAGTAATTCTGCTACCGTAATGAAAAAATATATTTTTTGAAAAAAGATATCTAGTCTACTCAAACAATTTAATCTTTATATGCATTGTTTTGCTATTTTGATAAACTAAAATACATAATCTAATGTTTGTCTAATAAAGCAAATTACTAACAATTTTTAAATTATTAAAAGAGATTTCTTTATATTTTATTACACTTTTCTAATAACGATTTCAGTTTAGTTTTTTTTTTTACAGTAAAGTATTTTAATTTCTCTTCTTTGATTTTCTTTCACACTATATCATGTGTAATGGGGATGTTAAACGTGTTTAAATAAAGATTATTTTTAATAATAATAATTAATATTTTTAATAATAATAATTATTATTATTTATTATTATATGCGAAACCATTCTACATAACTTAATAATCCTAGATAAATTAGAAAGGTTCTAATAAATGTTTGGAAATCATTTTTAGGCTCAGAATAAGCAAGATACGTGCAACCTGATTTGTTGAATTTGAAAGAGAGGCAAAGGCGTGTTTGAAAAGTAAAAGCAAATGTCAAAAACGTTTTCCATAAAATTAACTTAAATTTTCCATAAAAAAGATTAAAAAAAAAAATTATTTTTTTTTTTCAATCTTTTTTAAGTGATCTATGTTGACCTAACGGTGATGTCAAAGAACACCACTGATGGTGAAGTCATAGAACACCGTGGAAAAGCATTTAACTAGGAAGTTCACGCTTCACCAATTACGAAAATACGCAAAAAGTTCTTAATGGAATTTTGCTTTTAAAGCAAGCGCTCTTACTATTACTTGTGTAAAATGATAATAATAAGAATTTATTATTAATAATAAAAAAATTGTTGGCAAAAAAAATCATGCTCCGGTTTCCTGCCACAAATGGTTAGAGTCGATTACAAAAGTTTATGTGAACCAAAAACTATAGCTCAAGAATTTAACAAATATTTTACTCATATAGGACCAACATTGTCTGAAAAAATCCCTAAGACCAAATCTTTGTTTACTGATTATATAGAATCTCTGGATAATTTCATTTTTTCAGATGAGTTATCTTCCGAATCAATGTTTGATGAGTTTGAAAGAGTATAGGAGTATTCACAAAACTAGGAACTTTTATTGATCAAAATTTTATATATCAAAAGCTTTGATTCGGTCGATCACCATATATTGATTTATAAACTCAAATACTACGGAATAAAAAATAAAATTTTAAAATGGTTTAAAAGTTATCTTTCTAACCGAAAACAATAACCGAATACAAACTTATTCCTTTCTAACTGATATAGGTAAGCTTATTAAAAACAGTGAACGAATAACTTAGACAATTATCTAATTTGTTCAAGTGTAATAATTTAACCTTTAATACTAATAAAACAAAATGGATTTTATTTCATTCCATTACAAAAAAGCGATTTCTCCCATCAAAATTACCTCAAGTCTTTCTCGATTAAAAGGAAATAAAAAGAGTTTTTGATACAAAAATTTTAGGTGTTTATCTTGATGAAAACATTACTTGGAATCACCATATTGATTATATAAGCACAAAAATTTCTAAAAACATGAGGATCCTATAGAAATCACGAATCTATCTCAATAAGAAAGTCTTAATCCAACTTTATCATTTATTTATACGTAGTTATTTAAATTATGCCAATATTAAATGAGGAAGTACAGAAAAAAGTTTTGCAACGTCTTTATCTTCGTCAGAAACACCCAATCCTTATAATCAGTTTTGCAAATCGCTTCTCTCATTCGAAGCATTGTTTTATTGAAATGAGAATTCTGAATATATACGAGTTAAATGTATTTACTATTTTATGTTTAGTATATATGTGAATAAATAACTTATCCCTAGTCGTCTTCAAAGATCTTTTCTCTTTAAACCAATCAGTAATTACATTTTGAGAAATAATAACTTTTTAAACCAACCTTTTTTGTTAAACAAACTTTAATCAATTTTGTATTACCTATCGAATACCTTACCTTTGGAATAAATATGTTTTGGCGAATTTTAATTTTAATGTACCTATAACTTTTTGTCTTTTAAAAAAAAAACTGAAAAACCTCATTCTTTCATTAGATAATATATAAATTTATTATTAGTAGTAAAAGTTATAAATATGATTTGGTCTACTTTTTTATTGTTTACATACATGTTTACGTTTATAGAAGTTTATTCCTACTTATTTTATTTATTGTTCTCATACTTTTTACTTTTTAATTTATATGTTGGTTTACTCTTGTATAAAATTCAAATATAAATTCAAGGTATCTGAAATAAGATCGCAAGGATTTTGTCTGACGACAAAATCCTTGCGATCTTATTTCAGATACCTTGTTTATATTTTTTATATTTTCTATCATTGTAAGTTTATTTCAATATTTTTATTATTGGTTACATAAAGCTGTACAACGACTAACGAATGTAAAACTAAAAAAAAAAATAATTAAATAACATAAATAATTAACGTATAAAAGGAGACCTCTCCCCAGTATCACCAAAAACACAAATCTTGACTGTTAAAATGATTGCATGGTAAAATAAGTTACAAGTAAAATCTAACAAAAAAAGAAACAAGAGCACGTATTGGCACGTGAAGGAGTCGAAAAAAGTATTCAAGTCATTAACATAGAGAAATCTCTTGGCTATTGCCCAGCAATTTTTTTTACTGAATTGCATTTCATTACCTAATAAGCTGTAAATAGTTTTCTAAGTTTTTTTAAAATAACAAACTTAAAAAATATTTATAAACTTTGCATAAAGAAGTGATTTAAGTGCGCACATGGAATGTATCATCTTTTTTTTTTAGAGTTTTAACATATATATATAAGAAGCATTCACTTTTTAGATAACGAAAGTAAAGGGTTCAAAACTAAAAGCGGTTAAGATTGTCAGTGTTATTTTTGGCGATTTACAATGTTATTGTGTATTATAAGAACATCTTTTTTAGAGAACTCTTTTTTTATCTTCTTCACTCCAAAGAGTCTTATATTGCTATAAAAAAACCGTTAGATTGTTTGCTTAATTTTATACAACTAAAAAAATAAGTTATAAAATTTTTTTAAGGCATTTGAAAATAATCAAACACCCTAAAAATACAAGTTTAAAAACAACTAGAAAAATTGTATTTGCCAAAAACACCTTTCAAAGTTTCCTTTTTTTATTTTAAAATGTCGTACAATATCGCATAAAAGTGCAAATAATTTGTATGTTTTTTTATTTTAGACATTAAGAAGAAATAAAAATGGAGTTTAGAGCAATCTCGTTCCCAGTGGCCTTGCTTTTATTTCAAGTTCTACTTATTTGTTTATATGCAGGCTTTGTAAATTACGATGAATCTGGACCTTTACAAGACAATATAAACTATTATCCAGGTAAGCTCTTAAATTCAAAATGTGCAAATAGATATTTTTTAAATGATAAAAAAAAATTTAAAATAAAATTTTTTTTAAATGTTTGTTGGCTTGCTTAAAGTTGGTAACTATTATAATATCTTTTAATTTTTATCTTTTAATTTTAATATTTACCTTTTTTTTCTACCATAGTATGTCGCGTTTTATAAACTCCGCTATATGCCTTCTTTTTAGTTTATGCTGGTTCACTTTACTTTGTTTGATAAATGCTTTAGTCAAATAACAATATTTAGTTTATTAGTACAAACAGTGGCGTAGAAAGATTGTGAAAGTTGGTGGGGGGGGGGGGGGAAAGAAAACATATGTTAAAAAGGAAAAAGTTCCTCAAATTCGTATGATACAGCAAAATAGATTTAGGTGCCCCAAGAAGTCTTTACGGTTTTATCACAGAGCACTGCGGATGAGCATTTAATTGGAAATTCACGCCTCCTTCCTAACCGATGTGGCAAAACTTGCCTAGAGGTGGGTTTAGAACCACGGATCATTTGTTTCTGAGGCAAGTGCGCTACCACTGTGCCACGGCTGCTTTATATTTATTTTAACTATATATCTATTTATTGACTAAAACTATTTAAAAAAAAAACTAATTTTTGTTATAGGTTTTATAATTGTGTATAAATAACTATAAGCTCGATGCTGTTAAAGATGTGTATTATATAGACAACATAGACTGAGTTATATAGACAATTTATATAGACATTTAGATCTATTCATAATATAACTATTCTAAAATGTCTATTTTTAGATGATTTTAATTGCTCCCAAAATCTAAAACACTTTTTATTTAGTTATAGATATATAGTTTTACATTTTATTATTATTTTATTATTATTACTTTATTATTATTATTATTTTATTTATATTATTTTATTTATATTGTTTATATATTTATACTATTTATATTATTTTGTTTATATTATTATTACGTTTTACATTTTATTATTATTTTATTATTATTATTACATTTGATTAATATTTTATTATTATTACTTTTTATTTAGTTATACATATATAGTTTTTATATAGTTATACATATATAGATGGTATTCTAAGTCTATATTGTATTTATAAATAACATCGGTATTATTGTGATTTTGAATAGTATAAGATCAATTTTATTAAAAGTAACATAAAGAGCTCTTATAATGACTATTAGGTTTTTCTTGAATTTTAATTAATGATTTTTTTTATGTTCTACTTACATTTTACAATTCTTTATTTACTATTCTTAAATTTCATAAAGTAATAACGGTGTTTACCAACTAATATGTTTTTTGACTAAAAAAGTAATATTTTGGTAAAATAGTTTGGTATATTGATTAGTTAGTTGATTATACCCTTTGTAACAAATGTTGTTATTCAATGTTTATCAACCCCTATATTGCGCTATAACTATATTGCGCTTATAATTTACTGGCACTAATTTAATCATGTAGGTAAATAATAGTTTATATAAAAAGTTTTTTTCCGATGCAATGAAACTAGTTTACCAAGTTTACTAGTTTACCACTTCTATTGTAGTGTTGCGCTAAACTAGTTTCATTGCATCAGCATTGGTGAGTTCTAAGTGGTGTCTATGTCCAAAATATTGCATATTATTCTACTATATTGCATTCCATTTGTAGATATTTATGCTTACATTTATCTTAGATATAAATACTTACATATATATATTTATATATTTTATTTATAACTTTATACACAACTCTTAGTGTCTTTATTATGTAGTACTTTTAATACCTTTTATACAGTTAGAGTTATTTTTTTATTTTGTTTAGTATTTCAAGACGTTCATGTTATGATCATTATTGGTTTTGGGTTTCTTATGACATTTTTAAAAAGATATGGATATGGAGCAGTTTCATATAATTTGTTGCTCGCAGCAGTTACCATTCAGTGGTCAATACTTCTTAATGCATGGGTGTCTAATCAAACATCAAAGTTCAAAGGCAAGCAAGTGACTCTTGGAGAAGTCAAACTTGGATTAAAAGAGTAAGGGAAACATTATTTAAAAAATAAAAATAATTCTCTTTGGTAATAATAACAATAATAACACTAATTGGTACTAGTAATACAATAATGCTGATGACAAAAATTTGGGTTTGATTATAATTCGGTAACTTATGTTTTGCATTGTATTTAGATTTATTTACAAAAAACAAATTAAAAAAGAAATTGACCTTGATGGTTTCTAAAGCTTGTTTCCAATATTTATTGAAATATCGTGCAACAGTTGCACAATAACTTTATAATCGAAACATTTTCTTTCTTGAGTTGCGCAACCTAATGTCTAAAAAAAAATCAATTTTGTTAACAATTATTGTACAACCACGGTTAACACGGATCCTTATGATGCCTACCTAGCTGTCCCAAGAACGCCACTTATACAAAAAGTTAGCGTACACACCAAGGCACCCTATGATGCAAATTTTTAAATCATTTAATTTTGTCCGCGGAAAATAACTTAATTTGAATGTTTAAATTAAGTCAAATTTTGATTTCATAGTGTGCCAATAAAAACACTTGCAGAATTTGAACTACTCAATATAATTTGATAAAAAATGATGCAAATGTAGCCAATAGTCACACCAAACTCTGGACAAAATTTCAGCCTGATTGGATGACTGGTGTAGGATTTATTGCAATTTTAAATGAAGTTTTGTCAGTTTTTTGCTACTTATACCTCAAAGCGTTACCGATTACTTTGAAATTTGGTCATTATTTTTAAAATAACGGTTACATGAGTGTTCTTATATATAATACCAATAATATTTCTTATAATTACTTTATCGGTACATGTACAGTTTTCATTTTATAGACGAAAATAGTGATTTGCTTTCTAAGCGTGATTTAAATAGTCTTATGCTAATAGTGTCGACACCGCCTTTAAAGTGGATATTACCTCCTTAAATACATTTACTAATAAAATGAAGTGAAAACTATTTAAACCCTATTTTTATATTGTATTACCATCAAGTATCTAATCACATTTTAAGAAATGTTTTTTTGATTTTCTCCACCAAAAGATTATTAATAAATAGCTCAATGTACTCTTTTAATACAAATGCTCTATAATACTACTTTTAAAGATGGTAAAAATATTCATTATACGCCGTAAAATATGAATTTCAGCAGCCTACTTTCTAATAACTCAAATGCTGTTCTTTTCGACAGTTTGTTTACTATAGGGCCCAAGGGGGATCTTTTGTGACTGTTGAAATCCTTGATGTGATAGAAGACGGCGTGAATTTTGGGTGTTACGCTTGCACTAGTTATCATTAGGTAACACTTTTTGAAATTTTTAATTTTTTCAGTAAAATCCGGCTAAAGGATGTATCTAAAACAAGCCTTGTCAACTAAATTGAGGCTTTTTGAATACTTCAATTATGCACACAATTTTGTGAACCATGTTTTTCTCAGCAAGATGCTGCAACATATCCACATTTTAATGAAACTTTCTGCATTCATTTCCCATAAACTGGTCCCCGTGATACGGGCTCAGGTAAATGTGGAGGGTGGCCGGCCACTTAACAATTTCTAGCCAAGCAGTTTTAAGGATCTTAAAAAAATGGTTGACAACTCCTAAGAGGAGATGCAATTACATCGGTAGAATAATTTCCAAAATCAGAACATTGACAGGCCCGCAGATGATTGGTTTTCGAATGACATTGCCAAACAGCTTTACATTAGCAACAACCCCACAAGATTGCTGAAAAGACTTAAGGCTTGAATTAATTGAGCCCAGTGTTCACAACTTTCCAGACTTGGCAAGACAATTGGATTTGACGTCTCACCAGGTGCAAGGGTACGTACTTAAATGAATTTGAAAACCACAAATTATATTTGCAACTTTTATATCACAAACCAAAATTAGTTTAACTCCATTTGCATTAATCAGTAACCAGATTTGTTTAATATTGGAGTGTGTTTCTGGCAAATCTTCTGAAACCCCAACAATAATTTGTCTCTTGACTCCAGTGTCTTTACCAGTCCTTTGAGTGAGAAGTTGTTGTTGGTGTGGTGAGCTGGTTTCATCCCTTAATGCAGTATCAACAATGCTAGGCAAAATTTGAGAAAACCTTTGCCACCATTAATTCCGAGCATAACAAAATAGCCACCAGAAATTTGCGGGACTGAATAATATGATTCACAAGACTTGATAATTCATTGCAGTGAGCAACAACATGAACTGTACAAGAATATGTTTTTTCGTCTGTGATTTTTAAGTTGCTGCAGATGAAGAAATTGCTCAATTGTTGACCTAGTCTTAGAAAATTCATGTAGAAATTTTGCTCCACCATTTTGCTGTTTGATATTTTGTTTACAGTTCTAACAAGTTTCTTTTATCCGTTGTTTGACATGCCCGTATTTAATTGCACACTTACAAGGGCTACAGTGGTCGATTTTGGAGCACTTGATGGTGTCTGCGCACTACTTTGACCTAAAACCAAAACATACATATTTTATAGTTACAATAAACTTTGTTTAGTAAGTTTGTGTAAAACTTTCAAATTATTCGTTTTTAAAGAAATTAGAAACTTGTCAAAAATATACTTCTTGAAATCTTTCGAGTGTTATTTCTTAATAGGCAAGACTTTATTTCAATATATATTTTAAAACTATTTAAGTATAAATATTTACCAGGGGTAAATATTTATACTTAAATAGTATAAATATATATACAGAGGCCCGCCGGATGGTTTAGCCAGTAGAATAGTTCCCTCCGGAGACTATTCTTAATTGGAGATGCGATTTGTTCGGATGATTTGGCATCTTTTGCTGCTAAAAATTGAACGTTTTCCCTTAAAATTATTTGAGAGTATTGGTGAGGCAAACCTTTTCCTAAAGGGTGAAGGCATTTTCTGCAACGCACCTTTGGTTTTTTACTCAGTAGTGGTTTGCTCTACAAAAGGATGTTTATCTTACAGCTTTAAACGACCGATTCGGCGACAACAACACATCGTGCTTCTTGTTTTAGGTCTTACTTGTATTGACTAAAAATCCAAAAAAGGAGGGAGTGCAACTTCTCTACCCTTTTGTTTCCTGCGCAAAGTAATTCTACACGATTTGCAGAATCCTTTTGGTACCCTAGTATCACTGATATTGATCATGGTCTTGTACAGTTGGCATATTCGATCTGCTCAAAAAGTAGTAAGCTGTCTTAAACATTTTTTCAAAAAGAGCAAGGACACAAACTTTCAATTTTCATCATGATTCTTTGCTTGATTTGGCATCGTGGCAATTCACTAAATTTGACTTCACTAATTTAAACTCTACCTTTTACAAAATTTGACCTAAATTTATATTTGATAACAATCCACTTAACATAATAACACATATTATTAATTAAAATCTATTAAAATAAAGGAAATGTTTACTTGATTTAATTGAGGTAATATTAAATTACAAGGAAATAATTCTTGAATAGTTCTTTCCTTACCAGGAAACAATTGTTTAAACTGTTTAATTGTAATTTAAATACATTATTGATAATTGTAATTATTTTATTAAAAGTAACATAAAGAGCTCTTATTTTTTTTTAATTTTTTTGCATTCTGGCAGTAGTTTATACCTTAGAAAATGTTGGTAGATTCAAGCGAAGCATACATGGCCGTCAAGGGAGCCATGGCCTGCCCACAATTTTTTTGCAAGAACCTTTTGTTTTAGAAATATTGGCAATTATTTTAGAAATTATGGATTTTATTTTAGAAATTGAGGGGTTGATCCCCTCCACTTTGAAGGCTGTGTCAACGCCATTGGCAAAAGCCAATTCAAATCACGCTTTAAGTAGCAAATCATTATTTTGCTCTATAAAATGAAAACTGTACATGTACCGATAAAATAATTATAAGAAAAATTATTGGTATTATATATAAGAACACTCATGTAACCGTTATTTTAAAAATAATGACCGAATTTCAAAGTAATCGGTAACGCTTTGAGGTATAAGTAGCAAAAAACTGACAAAACTTCAACTAAAACTGCAATAAATCCTACACCAGTCATCCAATCAGGCTGAAATTTTGTCCAGAGTTTGGTGTGACTATTGGCTACATTTGCATCAATTTTTATCAAATTATATTGAGTGGTTCAAATTCTAAAAGTGTTTTTATTGGCGCACTATGAAATCAAAATTTGACTTAATTTAAACATTCAAATTTGATTATTTTCCGTGGACAAAATTAAATGATTTCAAAATTTGCATCACAAGGTAACTTGATCTTAAAGAAATTAGTCGCTGCTATTTTGCAGTACAGAAACGATAAACAAAATATTTTATCTGAGTTTGAATATTCAAGTGCAATTTTTTTTATTTGTAGCTCCAACAATACTGAATAAGGTTGACAGCAATAAAAAGTTGCTTTGCGGACTATTTAAACCCATTAAACTAAAACACTTAAGTTAAAAAATGTTTATAGTTATCAAAACTTTTTGTTCCAAATTCCTATAGGACCAATAGGACTTTTTGACTAAGGATTACTATTTACAGAAACATCCATTACTATAAGCTTTTAAAATGGTTTCACTATTACGGAAATTAAAAAGTGATAACTTTTCCACAAAGTATTCTGTAAATCAAGTGTTTACCAATGCAGAGGAAGCTATGTTAGAAAAATATATGTTGAAATCATCAAAAATCAACTATGAGTTAACATATTACTTAGCTAGAATGTATTTGAATATAGTAATGCTTTAAAAAAATGTCCTATAAGCCAAAATAATATTTTTTTTTTGATTGTAATGAACTTTATTTTTTTAATTGGGTAAAAAGAAAAACTTTTTATCTTTATCTTAATCTATTTTACATTACCATCTTTACTTTTTTAAAGTTAATATTTTGGTATTTATAAGATTGATAGATTGATAGAAAAGAAACTTTATTTTAGTTTGTTTGAATATAATATGCAAGGAAACTATTTAATGGTTTAAGATCTTTAAAAAAATATATCTGTTATTTGTAATAATTTTTTTATTTTGCTATAGTTTATAAT